TCACCCCGTGTAGGTCTCAGACTCCTACTTGTCTATGATTGCGTTTAATAATCGCTCGTAAGTTGAAGGAAAACATCGTGTTCCTCACGATGTTTGTCTAGCATGTCTTAGACTCAAAAAATGTCGTCGGCGTATGTCAGTCACAGTTTGATCACCTACTTGCGTATTACACAAAACAAATGACCGCGAAACAGATATATCTAAGGCACAGACCAAAAAGTTTGTAGCGCTGGTATAATTCATAACATGCGAAACAAAAAAAGATTAAATTTTTGCAAATCCAGCACAATTGGCACTTACAACACAATGCGCAAAATATGACAATTTCATATCTTAACCATGTATCTTTAACATTCCTAATCTTAAATCTACGAAGGAGATAAAGCGACTCCCTAAAAAATATTTATTGTGTTTATACAAACGTAGGTGGTAATACGAGTACTTATTCATATTAACTCGGGAAAGGGGACGTCATTCTTAGCGATAATTTGAAAAAAAAAAACACTTAATAATATTATTGGGTTCTAATTTCGTTTGTTAATCGTAACTATAAAAGTGTCAGAGGATTACAATAGGTGCTAACACATTGAATGCAGGGCGCTAGTGTTATGTTACCTTAAAAAATACAAACATGTTTGTAGGAAAATCGACGTTACTCTACGATTATAAGCTTTATAATCGCTTGCTGAATAAAATAAATGCTTGTTCAAGTGTCGCAATGGATTTGATATTATGCATTAATCGGTTTTTGTGGGATAGTTTCTGAGAATACCTAAGTGTCTATTATTAGCTATTAAAGTTATTTTAGGATATTAAGAAAATATGTTAAAGGTTTCTTAATGCAGGTAACAAAGTATGTAGTTTTCAAATGGTGTTTTATTTCAAATCTAAGTAAAGGTTCCAAGGAATCCAAGGAATACATAAGTTATATTTCTCTTGTAGATAGGAACAAAAAGTTTATCTTTGGACCTTTCTCGACAGAAACCTGAAAATAATTAATACTGCGTTGTTATTAAGACTATTTAAGTATACTTTTAAATATTTCCTCTAAACAAAAATTGTGTGACAGTAATAAAATCTTTTTGAATAAGTAATAAACACATGCAAGCCAGTAAAGTCGACCGCGCCGTCGGAGCTCGCCTCCCCGATTTGCATAAAATTATCACAAAATTATTATGGACGCCGCGCAGTTAATACCTCCTTTGTGACGCCAAAATATTTTGCGAACAGTTTTCCACACAAAGTCTGTAATTCAATATAGAAGCGGGCGGCATTTAACAAGAAAGCTATTTACATTCTAAATATTACGCCAAAGTTTTGCCTCGAATTTGATGTCGCAGAGTTTACGTAGGAAAATATTTTACTTAGGTAGCTAGTTAGGAATTTCGTATATAGATTTTCAGCTAACCCTGAGTTTTGAGGTGACAATTTACAACAAAAGACAATGGCGCGTTGCGTTGCATTGTCAGTTGTCAAACCGAAAGACGTATGGTCACACGTTCACCAATGACATCATCAATCATACGATTTGCTATAGTCTATGTAGATGCAGTAACTATGAAAACGACACGCTTAAACAATTTTTCAAGCATTTTATCTGGCAACAAGCAAATTCCTGACGGATCCTTGAGAAATCGATTGCAATCTCTATCAATTAAGTGAAATAGTCGTAGAATAATTTTATACCGCAAACTAATCTAAAGTGATAATTGGGTGGAATTAGCAATCTCTAACAATGCTGAATTCAATAACTATGACAATTTTCAATTTCTATGTAGTTCTTTTGATAAGTATACATAGGAACTCTTGAATCGAGTTCGGATATTCTCAGTATCTTTCTTGCTCGTTATGGACGAAACTGTTGCAGTAGATGTACTAAAAGTGCAGTACATTAAAATGTATTTGTAAACTTTTACTTAACCTATTCATAATAATGAATCTTGTATATACCTACCGTGTTAAACATCACACCTGCATTTTATACAGTAATAATACATAGTTGTCGAATAAACAATACAAACACGAAACTAAGGGAGGCATTGTGAATATTGGTTCGGGGTGTACAATGCGAAGTACTGGGCGGGGCGAACCGCCTTCACCTTGCCTCAGCAATTAAAACAATGACGGTTTAAAATGGAGTGTTATTGCTATGTTAAGTCAATTATTTCCAATGTGGCGCCAGTCATTTGTTTTTAAAACAGATTTTCAGCCTGTACCGAAACGAAAAAGCTTAGTGTGAATCGAACTTAAGGATTCTGAAGTAAATTTCTACCAGATATTGGTCGACATTTTTCGAAAGCACACGTATTGTTTTCTAGTCTTTCTTCTTTTTCTGAAATTGGTTTATTTTTTTAACTAGATAGGTGGCAATTATACCGCAGACAAAATATACGACGTCTGTAAGGCGTACCGGCGTAAACGTTATGTGAAGTAATTTAATTCCGTCATTTCATATATGTATTCAGAAATTTTATGTAACTTTTATTTTTTTCATAATGAGTATCAAGATTACTGTCAAACCATAATGACGTAATATAAAACGAGATAGGTAGAGTCTACCTATCTTCTTTACACAATCTCTAGTTATGATGTCATAATACAACTATGGTAACACAGCGGAAAAATAATTAATTGAAAATTAGCTTTTTTAAAATTAGTTTTTTCTCTATTTTGTTTTCTTTAAGATATTTTGATGTAGGTACCGATACCTAAGTACCGATACCTAATTAGAATAAAGATTACGGTAAATAGGTATTAGTTATTATCTATAGACAGTACCTATTTAACTTTTTCGCTATTAATGAAAAAACTAGCTAAGTTATCACATTCCTGAGTTAAATAATAAAAATGGTTAAATCGTAAAAGCACATTTTATTTTAATAAACAACGCATTGTTTGTTTTCCTTTTAGAAATGTTTGGACAAATACCTACCTAAAAATTAGAATTCGTTCAGCGTTCAGGCCACGTCGAGTCTTCGTTGTTGTTTGTCGATCAATTCGTTTGTTTTACGTCACTACTACCCGCACGTGACACGACCGATTGGTTGATAAACGGTCTGTGCTCTATGCCTACCTATGTAATTTTTTATTAATTTACTTATACCTCTACTACCTAACAGGGAAGAGACTTTATTATACTTAGACATGTATGTACTCCAATTTGCTGGGGCCTATTTACAATGGATAATTTTAAACTATTATTCATAATTGCGGATGGTTGGTAATTCAGATTAACTTTGGCATTGGATATCCCAGTCAGAGAACACAGTGTTTCATACAAAAATTTACCTATTGAAAAAATTACGCAAATTAAACAGAAAAAAATTAAATTGACCCGAAAAGTCAATAGTACCTTTAAGTAGGTTTAATAAGTTTATATACGAATGGTATTTTAATACATTTTCGGTAATCTAACTTTCTTTAATTTCCTAGAACTAGAAGTCTACTTCGGGGAGATTTTAACGAAATATTTCAAGTTTCGATAAACGGAATCAATTAAGAAATTCGTTTACATAAAATGAAATTGGTAGCAATCTAGCTGTATACTTAACAAATGGGTAAATATTTCCTGTAATTTCCTTTTTCCGAAACACTGCTTCACAAAGCGAAAGGAGACACAAACAAGATGGCGTATTTAAATGGGCGGCGACGGCATTGTTGGCGCGAAACGCTCGCTCATTCTGCACTCTTCGCTCTCGCTCTGAAAGCTTTATTTTCATTCCTTGTTCACGGTTCTCACAATGCTTTATAACCAAAACTTCACTAAAGAAAATATACTCTAAAACTAGCTGGTAAGGTTAATTTTTAGATGTCCCCATCGCGCTATAGATTATGTCACATGTGAAACTGTTGCATGTTTATCTATCCTCTTTTCTCTTGTGCCATAAGGTGTATTTTTATATGTGCATCTCTCTCTAGCGCGCCTCCTGAGAAGTAATGTGTTATTGCTTGTTGTGATATCTTGGAAATAACAGGGAAGTACTCGGTACGATGTTGTCATTTGTAACGGTTTGAAGTAGGGACTGCAAAAAAAATGTTGTCAAAGATATTGGATAATTAAGTATTATTTGATTAATATCGAGCCAATTACTTAGTCATTCATTACCAAATAATAATAATCCAGTGGCATTACAAACCTATATAGGGAGGTTTTGGCCTCAGATTGGAAGCCTTTTTTTAATTTATAGAATTTGAATGATAGAGTTATTTAGTTGGTAGTGGATCAGTGACACATATCGTCGATATTTGGGTCTAAGACTTGCCTGTTTTCTTCACAATGTTTTCTTTTACCATAGGAGCATTTTTAATTGCCCACATAGAAAGGAAAATACAGCTGTGATTCCAACGGTTTGAGACGCGCACGCTTAAGGCAACGCCGCTCATTAATAGCCAGCATAAATTATAATTTAATGTCTAAGCTATATTTCTCGAATAAAGTGATAATATATTTACTATAAAATACTTAATAAGTAGTCATCACATAAAAATTATTTCTACTAGGTACTGATCTGGAGTTATAGCTTAATGCTACCCATATGTTGATTCACAATTTTCGTGTCTATATATTCTTAGTATACGGTTAGGACATAATTTTATTAGATTGGGATTATAATGAATAACTTTTGCTACGCCAAACTCTTCTGACAAAAAATCTCACTACCTTTACAAGGTTTAAAGTTTAAAAAAAATGGTATTTCGGAAAAAAATTAACATATTAACGTGTGTACAATTAACTAACAGTGTTAAGTTTGAATCACTGTACCAAACCCCCATATTGACTCTGCGCTTAGTACCGGTGGACTCAAGTCAGGGTGCGTGGAGTTGCAAAGCCGCTAGAGTGGGGCGTCGCTAAACAAAAACACGTATACAAAGCGCGGGCTTGCGCTGATTGGCTGGCGCGTCGCAAGCCCCCGCCCCCCGCGTTACCCGCCCTCCGCCGGCTGCCGCTTGCCGGGGCCGCCGTAGGTAGGACGCACTCGTGCTCAGACCGTCGCCGAAACATGTGCAGTGGAGCTGAGGGAGGCCCGTGGCCTCTCGGCAAAGACGCACCCTCTGTGACCGCCGCCGCGATCGACCATTACCGTCTTCAGCTTTACAATTATGCCATTGCTGAACGTTTACGTCTTTATCCACCTTCAGTTGCCCCGTGCTACGGACCTTATGGACCACGACTCGCCCTTTCCATGTCTCTACTGCAGCAGCGAGCCCTGCAACCGGAAGAACCGAAGCCTCAACACAGCTACATTGGTCTCATCGCTATGGCAATACTGAGTTCACCCGAACAAAAACTTGTTTTGTCTGACATCTATCAACACATTTTAGACAACTATCCGTACTTTCGGTCCCGGGGACCTGGATGGAGAAACTCAATTCGACACAACTTATCTCTGAACGATTGTTTCGTGAAAGCGGGAAGATCAGCTAATGGAAAAGGACATTATTGGGCGATCCATCCAGCAAACGTTGAAGATTTTCGGAAAGGGGATTTTCGAAGACGTAAAGCGCAACGAAAGGTGCGCAAACATATGGGATTGGCTGTGGATGACGATGGAGAAGACTCTCCATCTCCACCGCCGCAGTCTCCTCCACCAACAGCCTTGCCTTTACCCTTCTGGAGCGGAAGCCGCGTACCAGGGGTTGTTCCGCCTCGAAAAAGACAGTTCGACGTAGCTTCTTTATTGGCGCCGGACGACGCACCGGATAAAAAACCTCGACGTGACAGTAGCTGCGAAGAAGAGGTCGAAGAAGATATAGACGTAGTTGCTAGTGACCAAGAAGATGTGAAATTAGGGGAAGATGAGACTCGGACGCCGGTCGCTCCGACGGCCCACTACCCGCTGCTTGGAGGCTGGTGGCCTGCGCTGGATCCAGCCCTTCTTCAGCAATTGAGAAGACATACATCTTCAGCTGTGTCTTCGGCTCCTCCTAGTCCGTCAGATCAACAACGCCCACCGGACACCTAAATAACCAAAAGTTAGCCAGTGTTCATTGTGTAAAATAAAAGCGAACATTTATGTACAAAATGTGAATAGTGAGAATAATTAGTTTTCATACATTGATCATACAATTTTTTTTAAGAAATTATTTTCGTTGTTCGGTTATAATTGGTGCTTCAAAAATCATATTTTTCTTTCGTTCCTCTTGAAAATACCTAATTGTTTTTACAATATTTGACGCCAATTAGAAATAATACTAACGTTTTGTCATCTTGAAATAGTAGAAATCTTAATAAATTTAATTAGCTAAAAATGCTATTTAAACATTTATAGGTAATTCGTAAAAGTCAAATCTAGATTAGTAGGTGAACCTACTGTTTACTCTTTATTAAAGTCTGAAAAACGACCAAGCAATTGTAAATAGGGCTATGTACTTAGTGTCTATGTTTTTGTATATATTTGATGGTTAGTCTCTGTTACTATATTATGTATAATATACCTACTTATACCTACTTATATTGTTGCTAGAAATATGTAACATATTCTTAAAGTAAGACAAATCTATAAGAAATAAATAGAAATTTTAAAATCTAATTTACTTTTCATTCAAACCCTTATATTTTTACACAGATAAGAATATCTACGTAACACCTCTAGTCCAATCAAACATTATAAAATAGGTTTTATACCTTTTATACACGATTTTTTATTATTCATTGTCAACTGTCAAATACCAGTGACCCCAAAGTTGGCGCTTTTCTTATGCAGGTAGGTTAGTATCTCTTGATCTGTGCTATTAGCATCGCAGTCGCGGTAATGTTGCCGTCATTAGAAAAATATAACTAAGAAATATTTTTAAAACTTTATAATTATATACAAAAACTTCGTACTTAGACACATATATTATACGACTGATTGGTAAGATACATAATTTCCCACAGTTTCTTCGTAGTGTCGGTAATAGCAGTTAACAATTTAGAGCTACTAAGAAGCTTAACTTACATTATAACTTAATATTTATTCTAGGTGTACCAATATCATTAAGCCTATATACAGAATAGTTATGATAAGGGGTAATAGATATAATTTTATTTGCGTAACTGCGGACTAAATCTGCCATTTGTGGAAGGTCATCATCGAATAGTATCTGTACGTAAATCACGAACCTAATACGTACCAAAGCTTAAATTAGTAAAACTGATTAGTCTATGAATGAGAAAAATAATCTATTTCGAATATCTATCTGGCTTAAGTTTTATAATCATTGTGTCTAATAATTCGTTTTTAGGAAAATTAATTAATAGTGTGCCCGGCCACCGCTCCTAATCGTTTCTTGAAAGACAGAATGTGTTATCAACATTTTTCTTCATTCATAGAAATATTTAATAATATTTATTAAATGTTTACGCGGTTTCGTAATTATTGTTTAGTGGCTTCCATATAATTGTTACTTGTAAATCGTAATTTTCACATTTCTAAATTGATTATTTGATAAAACTAATAAGTGTTATATGGCGCCTACCGAGAAATATTTATTAATCGTTGTCATTTCGTTAGAAGTGATTATTTTTTATTTTGCGGTTGAGTTAGTATTTTAACTGCGATTTAATGGGATGTTGAACTATATTCCATTGAGTTTGGAGCAATAAAGACTTGATATTATTAAGTTCCTAAACAACTTAATGTTTTAGAATTTTTAAAATTAATTAATACAGCATAATATACAGATAATTAGACATAACTTTACTCACTAGGTACTTGAGCTAGTTACTTCAATATAAAATCCGTTCTTACACTAACACGGCTTATCAAGTGACAAATAGATCGCTATCTGCAGTGTTTTACGCGAAACAGAATTTTGGTCTGGTTCTTGAAAATTGGCTGTGTTTAATTGTATGACATTAAATTATTCTTGTTTTTCTGGTTCAGATTTTAAAGGCTACAAAAAATTAAATGTTAGGTTGACATCTATCTATGAGACAAAAGCTTGAAACATACATGATACTAAGGTCTGCGCATTGCTCGCGTGGAAATTAGAAAACACAAATAATTCACAAACTAAAACTAAATAAACACAAAGATATACCTCAGTACTTTCAGAAAAAAATAAGTATAATTTAAATAATTTCGGAGATTACCTTTGTAGGTAGCAATATCTCTAAGTTGGTAAGTATGTGGTATATATATGGGACTATACCTACTCTGGGCTCTCTCCTAGTCAGATGATTGCCCTTTATCGAGAAGGCTCGTTTTCTCTTCTATACTTAAAAAAATAGAAGGTATACACCTATTATATATTTTTTAATATATGTAATTTAAGTTACTACTATATTTCTCTTTCCCATCTCCGTTGCGTAGGTGGCGTCGAAACCTAATGGATCCATTGAACCCAGGAAAGGTTTCATTTTACCAATTTCATAAAAAATTGCTATAGACAAAGAACTATTGATTATATGTATTAAAGTATTATAGGACATTAGCACAGATTAAACATATGAATATTACCTACTTTATGTAATGCGCATAAATTAAATCTCCTATGAATCTGGATTCCCAAAATTAAAACTCTTTGTTCACGCGGTTTAAGGAACCGATTAACAAATGAATCACTTAAAGCGTATTTGTTTTATTTCCTGCAAACACTAATGACGTTATTATCTGCGTGTGAAATATTTAGGCAATTTAACTCGGCGTTAAGATTGTGAGCTGTTTTTAAAAACATTTTATATTTCTCGTTTATACTTTTCTATGAATGGTTTTTGTTTAATAATGAAGGTATCTTTTGCTGTTCCGTAGTAGTTAATAGTAAGGTATGTTACCTATATCTTTTGTAGAAATAAAAAAGATGTTTTATAAAAACCTAACACGTATCAAGTATATAATTTTGCATTTCCTCCTATATATTTATTAATCTGTGATAACGGTACTATCGTACCTATGGCTATTTCGGGATAATGCAGACGCCATACCTGAAATAAAAAGACGATAATTATTATTATGTACCCTTATTTATTCCTTGAAACATTCATCCATGTTTACAAAAACAGAAATAATTATTTTTCTTTTCCAAGGACCTCTTATCGAGTATAAACCTCCTCCAACTGGCTCCATGTCTGTCTCTATATCTTGAAGCATTTATCTCCAAATCTTCCATTGTATGGCTATTTCGGGATAATGCAGATATGACGCCGTATTGGAAATGAAATGACTGAATGATGATGATGATGAAATAAATGTTTTATTTTATAAACTATGATCAAAAGAACAGTGTTGGCCTAGTGGCTTCAGCGTGTGACTCTCATCCCTGAGGTAGTAAGTCGACTCCCGGCTGTGGACTTTTTTTCTATGTGCGCATTTAACATTCGCTCGAACGGTGAAGGAAAACATCGTAAGGAAACCGGCTTGCCTAATAGAATGACAAATGACCATGAAATAGATATAGAAAGAAGTCCAGACCTAAAAGATTGTAGCGCCAATGATTTGACTTATTTATCAAAGTTTTTTTTAAATCAATTTTATTGCGTTCACGAGCTTTACGGACACGTCAGTCTCAGGTTTTTTTACTTAATGATAAAACACCCTTTCTGGACATAGGTGAGAAATTGTATACAAAAGGTACCAAACCAATGTTCTTTGAGTTAATCCTAACTTTAGTATAAGGCACAATAGAAAGAAATAGTCAGGAAGTTGACGCACTCTTCCTTCAACCTGTTTGTAGTTTATGGATTATCACAGATGCCATTGTTTCGGCGATTACATGATAACATTCAGTTTTAACAAAGCCATAGAAATGCGTAAGAATGGGCACATGTGAGGGTTTAGACAATAAAGGATAAGTCAGTTCACCTAAGTGCCAGGTAAAATGAGTAAAATTTGCGTTTAGTATTTCTATTCAAATATTCGTTGTTGATCAATTTGCTTGGCTTACAACGTAAGGGCATGTTAGGTCATAGAACCGGTAAGGACAGTTTAATTATGGTACAATCAACTTAAATAATATAACTATGTATTTTCTACGCCCATATTTTTTTTATGTAATAGGAGGCAAACGGGCAAGAGGCTCATCTGATATTAAGTGATACCGCCGCCCATGGACACTCACAATGCCAGAAGGCTCGCAAGTGCCTTGCCGGCCTTTCAAGATTTCTTAAGGGATCCTAAGTCGAATTGGTTCGGAAATACTTCAGTGGGCAGCTCGTTCCACATAGTGGTGGTGCGCGGCAAATATGTTGGAAGATCGAAGATGTTCTACTATATTAATAAATCATAACAAAATACGGTTGTACAAAATTGATATGACGCCAGCCCCACACTGAACCCCTGTGTTGAGTGACTAGACTACCTACAGCACTTCTGTGGTAGGAAAAGTAATGTTTATGGGGTGATTTAAAAGTACTCTTAATGTTAAATCTATCTAACAAAAAATTTGTGCGCTGCCAACGTTTAAAGGCAGGTATCGCGCTTGCGAGTCTTCTGGCAGTGCGAGTGTCCATGGGCGGCGGTATATCATATGTAACATCAGGTGAGTCTCCTGCCTATCTGCCTAATGTAACATAAAAAAGATACATGCAGTACGTTATAGGATACACACAATAATACACATCCCAGTTGGAGTTCTGATTTACCAAATCTTTCGGAAAACAGCCGAAAATTAATTTCTTTAAAATAAAATTGCCAAGTTTTTCTCTAGTAAATAGTGTACCTAATTAATTAAGCTATTTATTAGACCAACTTACGGCTTAGGGTTGCTCTTGAAATGATCCAACACGTACATACGATACTTATTTTCGATGAATACAATTCTAGCACACGTACGAATTTTTAAAACTCATTTTATAAAATGTTTAAAATAAGTTTGTTTTAAAAATGCTTTTTTGGAATTAATTGTTCCTAAGTACTTTCTGCTTAAAATACCCCAATTTGTAGGGTAAATATCCGATGGTAGGAACACTTTAGTGTTGTCATATAAAAAGTTTGCAAAAAAATCCAGTAGGTATCTACTTTCGTTAGCCAGACTCTAATACACA